CGAATATATATAGATCAGCTTTAATTGTCAAACGTTTGATGGAGGAGCTCACATTTGAAGAACTGAAAGAAGATAGGGACTCTTATACTCAGCTTATTCAAGATGTGATTACATTTTCTGAAGTATAGCATGTTGAATTTATGAATCATTCTATTATATCTATAATATTTTGTTATATAACAGAGAGATCTGAATGATGTAGAGACCGAGGAAAAATTTTGGCCAATTGAACTACCTAGTGGCAAAAAGTATAAAGAAAAGGCTTTTCTTTTTGAGGTAATTAAGCATTTATTGCATTGCTTTTTGGCTTTCACAGACAAAAATTAAGTAATCATGCAGCATGTTTATCTACAGTCATTCATTCATTCATTCATTTATTTATTCATTCATTCATTCATTTATTCATTCATTCATTCGTTCATTTCATTCATTATTCATCAATAGATTGTTGCTAATGGATTCACTGGTATTGATGTAGACAAAATGGACTACTTTGCTCGAGATGCCCGTAGTGTAGGACTGCCTAACAGTTTTGATTGGAGGTATTATACTGGAATGTCAACAGCTGGCATACTCTATTTATGTAGACGCTTCACTCAAACAGCAAAAATTATTAAGTGTGAGGATGGCTTTCACCATATATGCTCAAGAGATAAAGTAATAAGATTAATTGATAAGTATAATGGTGTTATTTGTATATTTTTTAGGATGCCTTATCTCTGTATGAATTGTTTCACACAAGAAATGTTCTTTATCGCTCTGTGTACAGGCACAAGACTGTAGTTATAGTGGAAGATTTGTAAGCATGGTGAAAAATAGTTCTAATCCAAGCTACAATAATTTTTTTAGGATGAAGAAAGCTTTAAAGGAAGCTAATCATGTCATTTGTGCTGATGGCTACCCTTTGCTTGAATGCTGGAAGAGTGTTGATGCATTTCTCACTTTAAATGGCACAATTGAAGACCGTATAGGAAGTTTGGTACATCATAGTTCTTGCCTTTATGTATGTTTCTTCTGTTACATAATACCCCCCAGTCTCCACCAAATGAAGCTAAAAAATGTTTTAGCAGAATTACTGAAAGGCAGCTACCAAAGTTTGTTGGACATACTTTGAAGAAACACAAAAAAGATGAAGATCATGAATTTTATTGTGAAAAAGCAATAGAGTATGTCAGTAGCAAGAGACAAAAAATAGATAAAAGTTTCCTAGGCTCAAAAGTAAAATTAAAAATAGTAATAGTATCTAAAGTTCCTTTAAATTAAGGAAGCAACCTTTAATTATGGGAAGAGAGGAGAGAATCCAATTATGTCACATTATTTTTACAATAAAGAGAAGCCTGATGGTGAAACGCCTACACCTTACAAATTTGAACAAGAAGAAGTAAGATAGTTTGTTTATATATGCATACATTAATGCTTTGTACAGGTATCTTTATTACTGCCTGCCAAATTTGAAGAAACACAATTGTTTTGGTATTATGATGTGACTGAACATGATAAGGAATGTACTAGAAATAATGAGGCAAAAACTGGCAGCGCCATCAGAGAAAGTTTGTTGGAATATTTCACCAATGTGACTAAAAAAGAGGCTAAAAAAGCTGATGATTTGAAGTGAAATAATTATAATTATTGTATTAACCTTTAATAACTATTCATAATTTGTAACATTAAAGATAGTTTGAAAAATGAAGTGGACAACAAGATAGATTTGCAATTTAAAATTTTTAGTTTTTCGTGAATGCAATAATTTTTAGTGCCTGATTTTTTATTTTATTTTTTAGTTAAGTTTTTACAAGATGTGTGAACTGTGAACATA